GGAGTCCGCGTCCTACACCAACAGAACGGCCCCATCCAAGCCAGACCAGTCATGGTTTGCTCTGAGCCACAACTCTTATTTTAGACAGCCCAACTTCCACTGTGTGAGGGAGGATAGTGTTAGTGCCATTTCTGTTTAAGCTCTGGCACAGTGCAAAAACCACACACACACACACACACACACACACACACACACACAATTGCTGAGCAGCTGCTGTAGACATGGTGTCGAAGATGCTGCATGAGACAAGTGCTGCAAAATTGAAAACTATCCCTCTGTCAAATGATATGGTTGCACTTATATTTTATCTGTTTTGAACTTTGTGTTATTTGATATTTCATTCAATTTGATACTTTAAAATTGGGCGATTTTGTTGTCATTTTTTTGCCAAGTGGGGCTTGAAAATTCACCCACCCTCTTCAGTGGGGAATGACAGAAAATGTTTGAGAACCACTGACCTAGACAATGTTATTGGAAAAACTTTAAATGCAGCTAAAGGAGAATATGAATCATTTAAAAAGTATTCAGCCTTCACCCTTATTTCAAAAGAGAAAGAATTAGTTATGTAGATCTGTTACAACTTCACTTTATCACTGTCACCAATTTGCACCCTATCATTTTCTTTTTTAGGCCAGAGGTAAAAGACAGTGTGACACACACTGAAAAGCATAAACCCTGTCAAATTCCTGAATGATGCAATTATTGCTTGCCACGCTACCCGACTCATTGGTGTGTGTGGCAGCGTTACCACATCATATTGCACAACTAAAGCTAAAGGCAGTCTGAGATCACCTGTGTACACCAGCAACACCATTAAAGCACAGGTGCATATAACAATGTGACACATCTTCCCCAGGTACAATTTTAAAATCAGTTTTTTTTTTCAGTAAGAGAAGCAGTCACATTTGTAAACATCTCTTCCTTGTTTTAGGCCACATTCTTGCTAGAAATGTAGAAAAGGTTTACAAAGTCAAGATGACTGAATATGTCTCACTGTGGACTGAATTAGAAGTGACCAGGTGTGCCCTCACTCATACACTTGCTCTAACAATACTAGTATACAAATTCATTTAACCGCACAGTAAACTTTACTTTTGATAAAAGGCCAAATACAGACTAGTCCCACAGCAGCTCTTACACAATTCAAATGCCATTGTCAGTGGCTGCCTTTCATTCTGTCTGTGAGTTTTAAAAGATTAAACACAGCTGACCAGCACATCATTAACACCCAGAAACCAAATCAGAGAAAATTGGAATATATAAAAGTTCTCACTCTGAGCAACTTATGGAGCTGAAGGAAATCTTCAGCAGAGCAGACATTAAAATAATAAAACCCAGACTGCAATTTGATTTGGTATGTCAGAATACATTTGCATTAAAATGACCTCTCTAAGTTTAACTTCCATTTCGGAGCACCAAGTGTATAAGTAGGCCAGCCCCGGTAGAGAAAGTAAAGGGAAGGGCAACCTTCACCACAAAAAAGGAGCATATCACAGCAGCACAACGCTGAATTTGTACTAACAGAAGCGTATTCTATTGTTCACCATCTCGTTTAATACTTCATACAACAAACTACAAAAGTCAGTTAAAGTTAAGTTAAGATAAAACAGTAAAAACACAGAAACTTACTTTATTCCCGCAGTGAAGCGTCACCACGAACCCGCCACTGACTCCGCGCTAATTAAACACAGCTGTATCCCACTAATTAAAGATTACGGCATGTGGATGTGAGCTATTTAGTGCTTAAATAATAACTTACCGTTTTAGAAAAAGCCACAATGGTGACCACATGGGAGCCGTCTTAGCCAATGGTCTGGCAGTTAGCTAGTTGAACACCTCTAGAAATTACTCTGTGGGTAGTCTAAGAGAAACGACGACATCATGTGGACAAACTAGGAATTGCTTCAGTTTGGACTCCAGCGGGAAGAAACACTGATGTCACTCAGTTGGACAATCAGTTTCTTTTACATTCTTTCTATTAGACATTCATGGGGGAAATTGTTCGTTCTAACGAGACGCTTTAAAACAAGACAGTAGCTCAGGGGCGGGGGGCTCATGGAGGGAGGGGTGTGTACCTTTTAGTCATGTTCATAACCTGCAACATGACGCATGATTAATACTGTGCACAGTATGGGCTGCTGTACTTTTTCATTGGGCTACTTGTACTTTAGATGTTTCCATTTTATGGTACTATACTTATATACCATTACATTTCAGAGGTAAATATTATCACTACAGATACTGGACAGTAGGAGTTGCTTTTCAGTTTAAGATTATAAAATACAATGCACCATTAATATTTAACCCAGTAGTTCCCACTTTTTGATATGTAGCCTCTTACAAAACAGAGGTAATGCCCTGTGTCATAGACATCCGTGAGTTGTTAGCAGTTCCAGAAAAGATGTTGTTTCTCAACTTCTCAGATCTTACAGTGACCGTGCATGATCCCCGGTCTTTACAAAAGAAATTAAATAGTGTATGTACTTTAGCCATTAGTCACTTCTGTGACTAATGGCTTTAGATGTCACCACTGCTGATTCATGTAGTGGAGAACAAATATAAAGTAAAATAAAATGGAAATACTCATGTGCAGTACCTCAAAACTGCACATAGAGTGTTTGAGTAAACATACTTAGCTATAGTCTGCTAGTAGTTTTGGAAACATCTTCAGTCTAAGTTTATTTCCTGTTGTATAAACAGCTACTGTAGCACAAAGACACTTGTCTAAGCTAATGTGTTAAACAACTTTAAACCCAACGGAAAGGCTGAATAAAGACTGCAGTGGGTCAGAGGAGACTGCTCATTACATAGAACAGAGTAGCCTCCAGTTACATTTCTGTTGTGATAACTCCCTTATGATGATGAGTGGAGTTTTTATTTTTTAAAATTACAACAGCAGCCTGTCGTCATCGGTGTGTGAATGTTGTATCATCTCCTGTAAAGCACTTTGGCCAGTGCAACACACTGTGGAAAAATGCACTATATAAATACAGTCCATTTTCCATTTACATTGCCAAACATTTGAAATGTACACATTCTGATGACAGGGCTGTAATGTGGGGAGCTTTTGTTTCAAATAAACAGTACGGCTTTTAGAAAAAAGAAATGTTAGTTTCCTTTATGGATCACTGCTTGTAATAACCGCAGTAAAAGAAGTTTGAGAAGAATGCTCACGACTCCCTTAAAAGAAACTAGCGGCAATATTCTCATGGCAGTATAAACAGCGCTGTGCTTCCTGACGCCAGCTGGGGCAATATCAAATGCTATTGTCTGAATGATTAGACTACCGTATCATTTGTTGCCTACATTTTCTGTTATATTTTCATAGTATTGGTTCTATTATTAAAGCTGTCATAGCTTAAAGCAACACATAAGTCGAGGTCACGACCTGTGTGACAGTGGAGAAACTCTAAAGTTAATTAGATGAGAAGTCCGGTTCACATCTCATGCTCACCACAGAAGCACAGATGAATCACGCTACAGATATTGCATCTAACGTAATGCATCCGACTTAAAATAGCTGCAGCTTGTTTGTATCCAGTATGAGTGAACAAAGGTCTATAGAAAGGGTCTATTCTTCTTTCAGGGGTCAATATCCTGCCCATGTCTTTGTCCTGCTATCACACAACAGAGCTCGCTGTGGGTGACGCACACCCATTCATTTGTGTTTTACGGGTGCTGATGCTTGTAATAATACTAAGCGTGCCTGATATCTCTGCAGAGTGAAATGAATTGGACTTGAGAAAAAATATGATCATCATATTGGATTTAATTGAACAACCTTTCTTCAAGATTACACATGCAAACACAAGAAACTGATTTCAGAACCTGATCAGCGTTGAGACAAAATAGCAGCTTCATCTGACGCTGTTTGCACAGCGTCCTTCTGATTGATTGTGATTTACATCTGTTTGACTAATTATTAGTTTTTCAAGAGTCAGTCCATGGAGTGTTTTCTGTGTAATATCACAAATCATTTAATACAAGTATAAAACTAAAGCAGATCTAAGCTCTAAAGGACAGACACTGATTGGAGTAACTGTTTTCACCTGAACTAACTGTTTCTAACCAAAGTGTGAGTGCCACAGTGTTTTTACTCCGCTGTGATGTTTTCTCCATCAAGCCCTCAGACTGCTCCCAGGGGTTCCTCATTTCCTCTTGCCTATTCGTGCCATCAGTTCTGCATTCGCTGCAGCCTTGGTCCTCATATCCTGGTTCTTGGCCAGGTCTATGAGGACACTGAGGATGTTGGTGGGAACATCGAGGGACAGGGCAAAACGGGACCCCTGCTGGGCTCTCTTTGGCACCTGGGAAGCAGGGCGCAGCGCTCGCCTGAGCACCCCGTGATGCTCTGATCGGAGCAATGAGTTCAACATGTCACCGTTTAGGATGTCGACAGCCAGCACGTCCCTTTGTGTGTCTTCATCAAATTTAGCAAGAGCTGGGCTACTCCTCTGGCTCTGCACACACCAGGGCAGCAGCAGAGCCAGGCAGAGACACACGCACACGGTTCTCATGATCAGGACTGTCTGCAAGGAAAGAAGAATACATTGACTAGAGTTTCACCACTGCACAACTGGGACAGTGCAAGGGTTTGCTCAGTGATGGCATGCAGCAGGGTTTTTCTTTTACATAATAGTCTGGCCAGGGGAAACTAACTGGAAGATGGCCACTCATTACCAATTTCATATCAAACACCCACTTGGGTCATAAATGAAGTGGGACAGTGATGAAAATCACAGTTTTAAAAGTCAGATGTGTGTACAGCAGGATACAACCATAGAATAATGTCAGAGTGGAAAAACATCCATCACCTGTAATATGATGTGCAAAAACACAGATAAATGAAATAGCCATTGTGCAGTAACTGGTATACTGTTGACATAAAAGCATATTTAATACTAAATCAGTCAACTTCTTTAAGTTTTAAACCCCCAGATAACCACAAATTCACCCCTTTACCCTCTTGTTCTGTAAATTAGCAATTTTGTCCACCCTTTTAATATATCAGGCAATAACTTTGACTTGTATATAGACAGTGTCAAAATCCCAGTGAGTACTTACTCGTTGTCACCCTTGTGAAAAGCTAGGAACTTGACAAAAGCACACGTCTCTGTCCTCTGGTGATGATCCTTCTCAACACTGATGTTTTCTGTCTCCCAGTGGCTGCTGCTTCTTCTTGCCTGTGTGACAGTCGGATGTTTGACTGGACTCCTGCCTTGAACACGACTTTGTCTTCACCCACGTCGGTCTTTGCCGTGACACTGCCCCTTCCACTCCGTTTATCTTTTACGTCTCTACAACCCATCACCCTCCCCTCGTTTCATCTCATTTTCTCCACGCTCATCGCAATCACGCTCTTTCTAAGAATAACACCATGGTTATCACAATAGTTTGCATATAATGAATTGATAGTTGTGTGCGTGTGGTTTCTACTTCTGTTTCGTTTTAAGCCACTATTGCGTGACTGTGTGGTGACTTTTTCATAAACAGTTTGATGGGGAAGAAGAGGAGATTCATTTTATAAGTGCTGAAGCCCCAGAGAGCTGACAGAATTACTGAAACCAGTGGTGCAGACGTGGAAAGTAAGTGACAGTTCCAAAGATCTTTTGTTAACAAGGCACAATGACTTGATGGCATCACACGTTTTTTGTAGTTTTACTAAAACAGCAAAACTAAAATAGAGCATTTGTCTTATTTCAGATTACAGACAAATCTCCAGGACCTGAAACCAGCATTTCATGTCTCAAAGTTCAAGAAGGCAGCTCTACATGAAAGTGCAGGTGTCATCAGTTGCTCAGGAAGGAAACAGCAGCGTATTTTTAAAAAAATCTCATTTGCTTCTTATTAATATGAACTTTAAATTGCTCCTTGGGTTTCGATTTTGAAACTGATTCAGTATCTAAGAATCTGGTCTTGTGCATGACAGTCAATACAACCAACTAGGAATACTTTGAAAACTTAAAACCACTGTACACTGTGCATTGTTGCCACTTAAAACATACTGTAATGTCTTCTATGTGCAGAACAACCTTTTGGAGAACAAGCAGGAAGAGACTTGAGGCCCAGAAGAGAAACTCAATGAGACAAAGCCGACGTTATTTCCTAAGTCACCGCCAGTCCAGCCCATTAAGGGGTTTGTCTTCATTTGACTGACATGAATATTACAGGCACAGTGTGATTAGAACAAGTTTGGCCCTTCAGGGGATTTAGGATTACGAGTCGTCTCAATAAGCCTCAGATAAACAAACCCGGAACAACAAATATCATCCAGCAACAGAGATGTGCTGGATTGCACCAGTAGAATTACTGTCACAGACAGCGTGATATAGGACTACACATGAATGTGAGATTGTCCCCTCAGTGAGTCAAGATAGAACATACTGTATGTATGCAGCTTCTGGTCCTGCTTGATTACTGAAACCATGTTGGTTTCTGTTAAATTAAACCCAATACATCAAACTACGGTCATCTCATCACATGATGTCAATCCTGGCCCTTCCGCCCATTTAAATACCGACTCTAAAGAAAAAACAAACCATGTGTGGAAATGTTTAGTTTGATGCAAAGTATCTCACTGCTAATACAAACATGGCAGAATCATTGTCGCATGAGACTGAGATCACATAGGGATCTAAATCCAATTCACAAAATTTATTGTGCAACCCTAGTTTTATGGGATTTTATTTTTGTCAGACAGAGCTTCTGGTATGTACAATAGAGGACAGAAACAATACAAATGATAAATACACTCTTGTTCCAAACTGCTGTATTCAGTATCAGCTGTACTGTGTCGAGTAATGACTTGAATTCAAGTTCGTCCACTCTCCCCTCCCCTCTGCAAGTCAGTAGGTAAATCACAACTCACAGCAGTGGGAAAGAGAAGAGGGGCTGGCTGTCTGTGCTGACAAACCAGCGTGCATACAGTCCTCAGGCAGAATATCACTGACGGTGAAAGAAAAGTAGGCTAATGCTGAGGAGGAAAATGAGGAGCAAATGTGGGGACACATGGAGCAACATGACAACTTCTCTTAAAAACTGAGCCAGTACATGGCACTGCGCATTCTGTTGTACTCAGGTAGCTGCTCAATGGGTCCTGGTGGACAGAGACAGGAGGCACAGATTAGAGAACATGATAAAAGCACAGGCTCTGGCCCTGTTGCACAAGGACTAAAATCACAGAACTCACCGAGAGCTGCCACAGCAGGACACTTGTCATAAATGTATTTGGTGCAAACATCGCGTACCATCCTGGGGGTCACAGCCTGAAAGGACATGAGGAGAAGAAGTCAGAACCCATTCTGGAGATAGACTAGAAGACAATTTGAGCAGATATTGAAAAGACACTGCATCAGGCTGCTTTTATCCTTCAATGGTACAAATGGTCCAGCAGAGCACCAACTCACATCGATCCGAGCATCCCACTCTTCCAAAGGAATACGCCGACCATAGTTCAGGATGTGTCTCCCAATGTCATCACAAATTGGTGTTGTTCCTAAAAGACAAAAGGCGGGCTGTGATTCATGAGTGTTTGTGTGAGTGTGATGATGTAAATGCATGACAGACATTACATACCATTGAGCTGTCCAACCAGACTGGCCTTCAGAGCGTTCTTGCCTCTGGCTACATCACTCTCTGTCACTATGGTACACAGTTTCATCCTACAGAGAGTAGAACATTAATGCATGAACTCAACGTGTGAATCGTGTCATAAATAACTGTGGTACATGCTGTTTTTGACATCCAGTGTGTGTGTGTGTGACTATCTTGAAGCCTTTACTGACCAGGCATCCTGGGACCAGTGCATCATGTCCTCGATGTGGTGTTTATCAGTCACAAAGTAAATGCCCATCAGGCCGGTGTCACTGTAGAAGGAGTGGAAAGCCTGGAAGCTGTGACACAAGTTATTTTCCACAGCCAGGTGAGCCAGATGGCTGCTCAGATGCTGCATGTGAGAGAAAGGACAACACTCGTTATCTTACTGTTCTTAAAGCTATGTTTAATATTTAAAGTGGGCTTATATTGTACCAGAATCTGGTCGTAGGCTAAAAATATGTTTCGCAAAATTATCCTTTCTGGATTTAAACCTAAAATCCAAAACATTACATGCTGTCCCTCAAAAACTGCAGCAAGGAAGGTGGAATTGCAATTGTAAAGCCAGTGCCACACAAAATGTGCTAATTATAATGTTATCAGAGTCCATTAGAACAATGGAATCCAAAAAGGAGACATTTTAATATGCAATTTAAGATATGAAATGAGTAAAGTACACAAAATTTAGAGCTATTCTACCTAAGGATGGGCATTCCATGAGTAAAACAGTTTTTCAGAAGCTGCTATGTATTCCAGGTCTTGTTCCTCCAAACACGACCAGATGCAGGGTTGACACCCCTGACCCAGGTTTTCAGAGGACCATGATCTACCCCTCCATAATGGCCACTCAAGACATTTACAATCTCAAGTGGGCAAAGCTTAAAGGGGACATTGCTGAACCAGTAAAATCAATTCACTCCAGGAGATATTACTTGCTGAATGCACTAAACTGCATCAACTACAACAAGTCGGTACAACCTTGCCACCACCATAGGTGAGGTCATAGCTGCCGATGATGGAGTTGGCCACCATGAGGGGAACGACGTCTGGGCTGGCAGCACTGGCCCCTTCCACAGCGATGGCAACATGTGCCAGAGGCAAATCATCATCACGCATTAAAATCTGAGGAGAGGCAAGACAGGAAAAGATCAACAAGACAATGTACCTGTAAATAGGGCTTGCACAGATTAGTGAACTTCCCCTCGCAGAATCAATAGTTTCAACATGATATCAACTAGTCGCTGGCCATGTGACTATCAACTGCCAACAGCTGTAGCTGACGTAGCAAGGGCTGTCGATCTGGCATGGAGAGTAGTCAGTCATTCTTGTCACTCAGCAGTGACAAGTCGTGTCCTAAAGAAACAGCAGGAACAGCTGGATGTAAAGGTCAATAAACTGCAAATTGACAGCCCAGACAGGTGGAATTCCACCATCATGTTCAAGCAGCTGTTAGTTCTGCAGTCTACCCTTACTGATGAAACAGTCACCAGACATGACTCAGTGGAGCTGGTAAAGCAGCTGACTCCAGTGCTACAACTCCTTCGTCTTGTGTTTATTTTCTGATCACATCCACTGGCGAGTGGTTGACATGGACTCGACCCTCATAATAGAACTGATAACTCTAAAAAACTGGAAGGTGTACAACCCCCATCTGTAAATATTCCTAGTAATCAATCTGAAAATAGTCTGTCATACACATTCATATTTAGTGAATTTGGATTGATAATAATAATATCCCCTCCTTGAACCGCCACCTTATTGTGGTGGAGGGGTTTGAGTACCCGAGTGTTCCTAGGAGCTATGTTGTCGGGGGCTATATGCCCCTAGTAGGGTTTCCCAAGGCAAACAGGTCCTAGGTGACGGGTCAGACTAAGAGTGGTTCAAAACCCCTTATGAAAAAATCAAAGTCAAGGACTGTGACATTGCCCGGTATGGCGCAACCAGGGCCCCACCCTGAAGCCAGGCCCGGGGTTGGGGCTCAAATGCGAGCGCCTGGTGGCCGTCCCCCGTGGGAGGTCATGGGCCCGGCTGGGCTTAGCCTGAACGAGCGACATAGGGACGTCCTCCCATGGGCCCACCACCTGCAGGAGGATTCGTAAAGGGCTGCTGCACAGTGGATCGGGCAGCAGTCGAAGGCAGGGCCCCCGACGACCCGATCTCTGGAGACTTACCCG